AGGCAAGAGCAGAAGGTGGCAGGCATTTATAAATATATTCTTTTAATATAAAGAGTATGGTTAGAAGGAGGAAGAGCAAAGGAGACAGAGATGAAGACCCCCCAAGGAGGTTAAAATGTACTAAATGAGGAATTGAAAAAAATGTTGCAAAAAGGAAATGGGCTTCCTAAAATTGCAGCAAAAACAAATTGGCCTGTAACATATTTTAAATTACTGCTTTCTTTTTTTTCCTCTTTTTTTCTTTTTAATAAAATGACCTTTGAAATGGAAAGCTTTCACATTGTAAAAGAGAAGTAAGAATGTTATCTCTAGAAGACAGTAAGACTGAAAACATCACATACACAAGCGAAGGCATTAATCACATACATAAAGGTAGAAGTATTTTAATATAACATGAGCAAGAAGGTAAATGAAAAAGAAGTGCAGTGTCACAATAACATCTATATTTTTCCTACTAGTGCTGTTTACTGCTAAATAAAGCCTTATTTTCTACGTTCCTGCTTTTTGATTTCCAGTGTGATATAAATGCTATTAAAGTAAGGAAAGTATAGCTGCATGAGATTCTCTGCATACAGAACTCAAATATTTCCAGAAGTTGCCTGGTTTTTAGTGTATGATCCTGTAAGGGATTTAATTGGCTCTAAAGGATTTAATTTTAACTCATCAGTGTCAGGCAAGTCCTAAATTTTCCATTGTAATTGCACTTTCTGGTATCCAGGTTTGCAGTTGTATGGCTTTGCAAGCGTTTGCACTCCCTTCCAGAACACAAAAGCAATCTTGTGTTTGGACCTCTGATGATCAGCTCTGTTACAAGATGATGACACTGCTTGAGGTCATGAAGTGTTTCATGTTGCCTTCACTGTAGTTTTGATTACTTCTAATTCTTTTTTTTCTTCCCCAAGAAGAAGAATGTATTCATGTTTATTGTTTGTATGCTTCGTACATTAACACACTAAAGTCACTTGCAGAAGTGGTCATTTGCCTCAGTCCCATGACATTGTGTCATGAGAGTCGCACTTCCTCTCAGTGAAACATCTGACCAAAGCATGTTCGGAAGCAGCAGCGAGTGGGGACCTCAAAGACGGAAGACTTAAAGTAGCTTCTGGATGGGCTGTCTGTGGACATCCATCTACTGATAAGGGAAGACGGGGTACACATTCTGAAAGACTTTCTTGACAGGATAATAGTGGAGAGTGGGATTTTCCATAGGGTATCACATTTTCCATAGGGTATAAGTAATTGAAGAAAGGTGAACAGAAATGCAGTACTAAGTCTCCCAGCTTTCTTTCCAGTTCTTAGTCCTTACGATGTTCAAGGTATCGTGAATTTCCACCTTAAAAATTATTTCCTTAGAGACCCACCTACAGTAATAACTTCTATAAAATGTACTACTTTCAGTCATGATTTTAAATTGGTTGGTTTGTATACTTAGCGGTTTTACTGCAGGTATTTTCGTACTTTTAATTCTGAAATACCAATACGAGAAGTGGATTTGGACTCCTCTATGTCATCATGGTGTCACTTGAAACAAAATGAATATCCAGACCTTAAATATCTGCACTTTCCTTTTTTTTTTTTTTATGGTTAATTGTGCAGATGCAGACAGTTTATGCGATGCTTATGATATGACAATGAAAACTAAAGCTATTCATCACAGCAGGGAACAAAAACATAAGAAAAGGGGAGTCTTACAGTATGCTTTGGGGTTTTACAAATAATAGAAGTGACTTCTTTAAACACTTAGTACAAGTGATACTTATTACTAAATCATGTATATGCAATTTGTGTGTTGAGACTTTTAATTGAAAAAACTTTGTGAAGTGCATTTTCCTTTTAATTTCCTGAAGTGTTTAATTTTTCATTAAATTAATATAAAATACAAACATAAGAGAGTTGTATTTATTTACCATTGTTAATCTTTCTCTTATGTTTTGCAGTTGTAAAATGCTGCGTTAACAGGGAATTCTCTGACTATTGTAAAATAATTAGATTTTTAAAAAAATCTCAGAAAGAATCAGCTGTGTCTTTTCAATGCCATAAGCAAGTATTTAGCTACAGAACTTCCAGTTTAGTGTCAGTAGTAATGATGCTCCTGGAACCCTGTATGCTTCCCTGAAAATCGTATGGTTGGATTCTGTCAGTTTTCAATATTTCAGATTTTACTTTCATTCAGTGCTCCCTATGCTGCTTTCCTGTATCATGTTATCTAATATTTCAGTTGTAGTTTATTTATTTTTGTCTATTTTAAGCATACTGTTCTTGAATTTCTTTCTTCTAGAATATTATTTAAGGACAAAGACAGAAATTGGGAAGAAATTGAAAACAAGTTGCGAGCTGAAAGTGAAGTTCCTATTGTGAAAACATCGAGCATGGTATGAATAGTTATCTTTTCTGGAATTGATTGAGCCTCTTATGTAATTTCTAAGTAATCAGTAGAGGAATGTGTTATTTTGAACGACATAAAGACAAAAAATCTTTAAAAGGTTTTATTTAGACACTCAGTTCTATTTCAAGAATGAACCCAATCTTCTTTAATAAGTACCAAGACTTACTATCAAGAAATTGTTCAGGGGAAATTCTCGGATAAAGAATGCGATAAAAGACGTTCAGACTACATAGACTATCAGTACCTTTTTTTAACCAAAGGTAAAAACCATTAGTTTGATTGTTGGATTGTTTTCGAATGAACTTGTTTTACAATCTAAAGACTACTTTACCTACTGATTGTTAATACTTCATATATAATACTTAATAGTAGTAGTACTGATTATTAATATTGAGATAAATAGTTGTATTTTGCTGTATGTGAATGAAAATAACCTGTCAACACATTGCAGTAAAAGCACTCTTTTGATGAGAAATGATCATGTTGGTTTTGTGTTGAAGTGATAACCGTAGGGTACCAGCTACAACTCCAGTTGGTTCACGTAGTCGTCTCCCCCTGCATAACTAGGGCCATTCCACGACCAGACGGCACGACAGTGTGAGGCAACAGAGCACACTTGGTGTTTCCTAGTACGCTTCTCCTCTGCTGCTAAACACAGAGCATAGGGTTTGAAAAACATCTAGGAATGTCAGCTGACAGGGCCAGTGTTCTTTTCTGAGAGAAGGATGGGAGAGGAAACTCCTTCTCACATGCTTTGTACTGGGCTGCCCAGAGCAAAAAAGTGAACGTGTTTCCTCTGGCATTGAACTGGCTAGCACTTCCCAGTTCGCTCAGTATAACTTATTAAACTCATCCAGATTGATTTTTCCAGGAAGTATTAAAAACTTGGCCCGGCATTGCTGCAGAATGCTATCTTTTTAAGAGCAGTCATTAGTAACTCAGTGTTGTAATTTAATAGATACACTGACAGTTTTGGGTTGTTTGGTTTTTAAAGGTTAATTAAGCAAGTCACTCATGGAAGTTTCTAATTTTAGAAATAAGATAATATGAGGAGTTTTTCTTACCCATTTCCAGAATAAGATTGGAGTTTAGTGTTTTATATTCCAAATGCCATGAATATGGGGTTTTAAGGCATTCGTTAAAAAATAAAAAGATTAGTTGTATATTTATTCCTAAATTCAGTGTTTTACAAAATTTTGTTCAATGCATTAAAGCATCTCGCATTGTTTGAAAGTGTATGGGGTGGGTTTGTTTGGGTTTGTTTGTCTATGCACTGGTTTTCAAATTTCTGGTCAGTTTTCAGAGCAATATATTGTTCAAATGCAGTGCTTATTTTTACCACAGAATGTTATTAAAAGTTAACAGAGGACAATTGTAACTGATGTTTGTTTTGTCCTTGGGACATTTATGTCCACCTCAGATGTGGAATCTGCTTAAAGATAATGACTTTGTAAAATCCAAGGTAATTGATCTCTTTGCCCCCCCCAAAAATCACATTACTTTGTACAGAATGGGTTTCTGAAATCAGTGCTTTTGAAAATTCTCAGCTTTTGAAGACCACTGATAGCTCTCCTCAACAGTTGGATTAACAGTGTTCTTCAGTATAGGAACCTTCAAATGTAGGATTTGCATATTTATAATTGAAGATGTGGTGCATTTAACGATGGTTGTGTTTGAGTGCATTGCTGCGGCTACATCTGTGTTCGCAAGTAGTGCAGCACAGAGGAGAAGAATCTGTAAGGCAAAGGCGTGCCGAGGACCCGACGCGGGTGTGCTGCTCAGGGTCTGGTGGGCACAGGGCCCAGCAGTTGCGGACAGGGTCCCGACGCAGTCATCTCACTGTTCTGACTCACGCCTGAAGAAGGTTATAAATCTCCCTATTCCATTAACTCTGGGGTTATACTGTAAGTTCCCTTCGACGGCTTGCTGCTGTTTGCCCCGTTCCTACAGAACGGTGGTGTCCATGAGCCTGTGCCTGAGAAGCAGCAGCGCAGGGGGGTGAGCGAGGGGCAGGGTGAGGTTTGGCTGAGCCCAGCCCGCAGCCAGCGCCGTGGGGC